CCCAACTGTTGGGGCCTTAGTGCTTCTCTTCCTCTGTGGTGACAGAAATGGCATCAATGTCTGGCTCTGCTCTCCTCTGCCCTGCTTGGCCTTCACTCCCTGCCCTTTCATCCCTTTGCTACTTCTTGGCCATGAATACTAAACACAGAGGAGAGCTCGTGAACTTGGCCAGGAAAACGTCATTAATAACCTTGACAAGTATGGAGATTGATTGGAAAGGATAAAGGAGAGAGTGGGAGGAAAGGAAGTTGAGGCAATAAATAGGCCAGGCCTGCTGTTACCATGCTAATCTCTACAGGGTTATTCAGGGAAACAACAGAATTAGTTAATCCTATACCTAGATCCTTTCCTTATTTCTGGATATATTTCTTCTTTAATATCTATAATAGATTTATAATACAACACATATTTGTAATAGTTTACAACACATATTTATAATAGTTTACAAAAATGAAGCTTACTTCTGTTTACAAAAACAGAAGTACTATTTTAGACATATTAAATGCAATGGAAGGCATGGAAAGCAAAATTTAACACATTGCGACACAACTGTTTAACAACATAAAAGCATTTAGTCCACCCATTATTTTTAATTGGAGATGAGTATGTAATTGCTTGCCACTAATGTAATCTCCAGTTGTTGTTCCAAAACAGACAATAATTTAGTATATTAATACTCCATAAGAGGCTTTCATCCACTATTATTTTTAGTAACAGTCTCCCTAGTGCCTTGCTGAATCTACTGCACTTCACCTTTGGTTCACTACATTGTTTTGAGAAAAATAATCATGATGTGTACAGAAAAATCTGCTTGAGAAGGATTTATAAGGGGGGGGGTCTGAAGTTTAAGAGAGGTTATTTCCATTTGCTGTAGGTAAACTGTGCGGGGGAAGGGAGCAAGTACCCTGCCAGAAAGAGGTGGATATAAATGACAGTTGGTCACTGTGAGGCTAATAAACAGTCACATTAATTTGGGAGAGATGTAATGATTTCAATTCAGAACTTCAGAGCATTTACTGCACAAGTCCTCCTAAATGAGCATTTCTCTTTGTTCTGAACTGGCTTGTCTTCAAAAGAAAAGGTTATCAGTGAGGACAGTCTCTCCAGTATGGTGACTTAGTGCTAGCAGCAGCCACCAGTGGGGAACTGTTCTTTTTTTGTCTTTGATTGATGTCATGAATTCTTGAGGCTGCTTTGGTTTGCATGGACCAACAGCCCTGAAGAGACCTTCCAAAACTCTGTTTGCTCTTCAGTCATAAGGAGCACATATAAACGTAGTTTGTACAAGGCATTGTGGTGGGATTCAGTGATGATGGAATAGTTGGTCAATATAAATAATCTGCTGCCATAAACACAGTGTATTACTGACAGTTCTTAAAACTCATAATTTGCAGAGGAACTGGTTGTTATTTCAAAAAAAGTTAAATAAATTAAAAAATGCAACTCTGAGGAATAAGAAGCAAAATGATAGATATATCTCCATCCTTAAAAAAAAAGAAAAAAATTGCTTTTTTTAATGGGCTCAAACTTGAAGATGTTCAGTTTACTGTGCTCCAGCTCACCTGAGACAAAGTTGTATATGGAGAACAAGAAACTTGAGTTTTTAGTGAATAAGGACTTCCGATAGACCTATGTTTGGTAAAACCTGTCACTGGTTGCAGCTGCAGCAGAGGTTTAGCAGAGGGTAGCAGACTATGAATGCTAATTACTTTGTGTACGCTTATTTCCTGAGAGCATATGGTCTGTGTTCCCCTCCAAAGCAAATGTGAACATAGCATCAGATCCATTTCTGTGTGGTCTGGCTCCTTCCTTAATGCACTGTGGAGTTTCATGGTTCTGCACAACTCCGTGTTTACTGACTAGGCATCACAAAATGGGGAATTTCTTAGGAAAGTGTGTTTTGCAAGATCAGATTCACAGGCACTGCTTTGTGTTTAATACATCTTCTGTATGAAGCTTATTTCCTCCCCTTGTTACAACAGCACAGAAACTTTGTGGTGTCAGCCCTGGTGCTGTGACAGGGGGAGGCAAAGGCTGGCCACAGTGCAGTATGAAGACCTTTCACTGACTGGCTTCCATGACCACATCCCTCTCATGCCATCTGTTGTGCTAAGAGTGCACTTAGACCATAGCATTACTCACTTGCTCCTTTGGAGTTGTCTTTTGAGTGTACCGTGAGAAGAACTTGGTGGGAGAAAACCAGGAAGAAGTCAATTGCTGCAAGATTCCTCCACCATGTGTCATCTCCACATTGTGCTTGCAATTGAGCAAATGCAGTCTGTCTGGCAGATGACTCAGTGTACTGTGCCTGTGAGGAAACAGGCCTCTCTTTGACCTATGAGTGTGTTTATGTGTGGTGTTAAATGTTCTTAGGGATCAGCCACAGGTGTGTCGCAATTCTCCATCATGGAGCAGGTTTCCTTTGATGGTGGTCTTTTATCCAGAAAACATACTGTGTCATTCCCCTGCCCCTCGTAGTTGTGTCATTGTCCCATCCCCCCAGCCACACACATGGGCAACAGCATCAGGGGGACGGAAGAGGTGAGCCATGGCTTTCCACCATGTAGTAGAAGGGCCATCACGGAGTAGGCCACCCCACACACACACAGTGCGAGACGCATCTTTCTTTCAGCCAGTCCTCAGTGCTGCCCATGCACTTAAAACTGAAATCATGCAACATGTACACAAATGAAAGCTTTTCATACTAACATTTATTCCTTCTTGCCCCCAAGGCCTTTGTTAGTTAACAAGATGGCAGTGTCTTAGGGAAGAGACAATTGTGCAGTTCAGCTCATTATACAGAGGCGTGCTGGAAATGTCACAGCAGCTGAGTCGCACTCTCCTCTCGCTTGTAATTTTGTTATTCTGGTCCACTGACCTTTATTTTGCTGTAAGTGCTCAATTTTCTATATAGTATTTGTATTTTGCAGAGAGGCTAATAAACTGAAATCATATGTTACACAGAAATCCTTTCTTCTGAAAATGCAGACAGCCTGCATTTGCCTTTCAGTCTTTACTAGTTCAGACATTTGGTCACAACCAGCAATAATATTTTTAGCCACTGGTGCTCTGCTTCTTAGCTGCAGGCTGACTTGTTAACTTGATCAAGAGATACTCTTTAAATGAGCTGACACCATGTCCTGTGCAGTAGATTTTATATTAAGAAAAAGAAAATAGATAAAAGAAAGTGCTTCAGTTCTGAGGTTGGCCTAGGGTATCAATGCATTAGGACTGGTTGCTGCTGGGAATTGGATATTGACACTGTTTGATCCTGGCTTAGAGAAGGGGTTGTATTGCAGTCCAGCTCACCTCTGTTTCACAGCATCATTTTAGACAGCAAATTTGGTGGGGCTTTGTATGATTAAGGTTCTTAAGAGGATGCTCTCACAGTTAGCCTTCTATTCAGATGCAATGTCTACAAGGGATCCCATCAAACAACCGACTAAACACAGCCCAAGAAAGGGAGATAAGGCAAACTAATGGATAAATAAAAATTCATATACAGTAAACAATAAATAGTCATCTGCCTTAGTCATATGAAGTAGTTTGGCTGTTTTCCGCCTCCAAGTCAATTAAGTTTAATGCTTCTATGCAAACAGTCAGAGTTTCCATTAAATACAATTGTGTGTGTCTGACCCCAGAATGACACACTGATATTCCAAAAATAGCATAATAAATATTCTGAGATGCATCATTGTAAGCCTGTAGCTTGAGTATCAGATCTGCCATGTTACATAAAAAATATTGGTTATATAATGGGATTTTTATCAGTCCAGTGACATAAATACAAATATTAGAGCATTATTAGGCAGCAAACCTCACTGTGACTTTGGATCTGTTATTCTGAAAGTCAGAGAGAAAGTCACTTATATTATGTGGATTTAGATGCTGCAGCTCTAGATGTGTCTGAAAATTCAGAGCTAGTTAGACTTTCTTAGCTACAGATAAATGCAAATACATTTAAAATGGTACTGAGAACGGAAATGGGGGTGCGATGCAAACTTCAAACTGCTCTGAAGTTTCTTTCTTGATGGCCAGACGGAAGTCATTGCTGCTGTGGGGAGTCAGGGATGTCCCTCAAACCAGAGCTCCTCATCTCTTGAAGTACAGTGAGAGACATCTGGGGAAGAGTAGTCTGCCTTTGTCTGCTAGAAAGCAGCTAAAAGTCCTGAGCTGGCAGAAATCAGGACTTAGTGGGAGGACATATGGGAGAGCAGCAGGGATTTCCTCCAGGCAGAGCAATATTAATATATACATCATTGCTGCTTGTCGCTGGTGGTCAAATAACAGTACACGTGCTGGGGAAAGGCTGGCCAGGCAGCAACTGCTCTGGGAGTGAGGTCCTACCTATAGAGCAGAAGCTCAGAAAAAGGGGTTCTACAACTTGCCCAAAAAATAATTACCTTGTACGTAGAAATAGGTGCATCATTTGATAACTGAAAATCTGATTTTGTAGGTTACAGAATTTCTTGAAAACCCTAAGTAGGGCATTAAGTGAAATTGCATGGCCTGTTGTTACTGACAGCCAACCATCTGTCCCCACAGGCTTTCAAATCAAGAGAGCAACATTTCTACTAAGGGCAGAAAATCTATAGTGTGGAGGTTTCAGTAAGTGAATTAGATGAACCTTCTGACTTTTCAGTTTGAGATATGAGCAGACTGAAAAAAAGAATTAGAAAAAAGCAAGCTCAACTTCTCAAGTTAACATGAGCAAATTAAATAATTTCACATGTTTTTTGGGTAGGTTGAAATGAGGCAGACTGTAACAGACTCATGTAGTCTTTAGTATCTCTAGGTCAGAGAGCCTGTTTTCCCAGGAGTACTGATTTGCTCTGCCTCGGCATATCAACCATTACACACAGCTCAGAGAATTACATCTCACAATAACTCCTGTCCTCCTCTTATGTTTGGAAAATGAGAACATTCACAAAAGGAGCGGGAGATGAGAGCTAGAGGGAGGGAAAGCGGGGCTGATAGTTCTGCCCAAGGGAAGCTTGGTGTCACACATCTTCTGCATGCTGAGATGGGGGAGCCCTATCTTTAAAGACCTGAATCAGGTGCCCAAAGTAGCACTGCAAACTGTAGTGCAGGCTGGCTGGGCTCTCTGTCTCTTCTGTCACTGGTCTGTAAAGTCACTTTCCCTCCCCAGTCTATATATGTGTGCAAGCAGAGTGAAGGACAATGTTCTTTCTGCCTCGCAGATCTGCTCTGCAAACAGAGCTGCATCCATGGGCTTTTTACACGTGCATGAAGTCCCCTGCCCGCACTCTAACATTGCATGGGATTACAGGTCTTCCTAGCTTGCATCTCTCCCTGCTAAATTGCTAACTTTGACAGAGAGCTAACTCTATGCTACTAAGTGTGCTCTGACAAAATGTTCTGATATAAAACAGCATCAAAGTGTTTGGAATGCTGCTGGATTTTCCCCCTGCACAGGATATAAAAGAAAAGAGAGATTTTTAGCCCTGTAAGATTAAACAATCATCATGGCTTTAAGGGCTTAATCTGCTGGCATGCATGCTGCTGGCTTATAAATCTCTGAGTGTAATTGGATGCAGCATCGCATTCGGTTGTGTGGGCTTCTCCAGGGCTTTCTGTTTGTTTGTTCATTTATAGCAGGCTGCAGAGCAGCAGCATTCTTCCCCTTGAGAGGCTCTTGGCCATGGAGCCGTAAAGCTGTGCCCCCAGCCAGGATTTCGGCAGCACCTCGCTGGATCCCACTACCCAGGGAGGGAAGGGGGGGGCTGGCTGCATGAATTCGGGCTATTGTTCCAGGCGCACATCTGCCTTCAGAAATAGCACGGCACAGGCCGTTACTTATTCAGATGCAGAAGCTCCTTCCATCCCACAAGCCGGCCCATTCGAGTCACATGCCAGAGGTCTCAGCAGAATGGGCTGCAGCTGCTTCAAATCTGCTGTCTAACATCAGAAGCAGTTGGACAAACTGTGCTGCGCTGACGGCAGTGAGCCTGCCGGGTGCCGGGGAAGACAGGGAAAAGATCTGGGACCCGAGTGCGATGTTCTCGGAGGATCTGTGGCTGGAAAATGAGAAAAGCTGTGCTGTCGTCCACAAGTCGAAGCGGGGAAGGAAGCGCCAAGAGCTCCTGGCCGTGGCCCTGGGGGTGAAGGTGGGAGTGAAGGGGGCACTCCTGTGGCAACCTCTGAAACTCTTTGCCTATTCGCAGATCACCTCCTTGGTCCGAAGAGCAGCCTTAACTCAAAACGACAACCATTTCAACTATGAAAAAGCACACAATTTTAAGGTAAGCATGGCTTCCTATTATTCATGACTGAAAAATTATGTTTTGATACCTCTTGATTTAGGTTTTTTTCTGTGGATTTTCATGCAACCATCTGTACTAGCTCTGAGGAAACTGCTGAAAAACGTTTATTTCTTTCTAAAGTTCTGCTGACTGCATTCCTAATGTGCTTTCACGTATCTACTTAATCCAAGTAATGGTTTTGCTGTTTGCTTGACTGTTTGATTGGTGTATTCGTTATTTTTCCCCACGTTCAGTGTTCTTTTTATTGTTCAGAAAGAAAGGATACTTCATATTGATTGTCATTACCTTAAAGTGTATCCATTTCTAAACCACAAAAATGCAGCTGCTATCAGAAGCCACCAGCACTTTATCAGCAACATTTTGTAACCTTTCTGCTTTGAAGAAGTTGAGAATGCTCCAGTGCTCACCCATACAGCAAAGTGCAGAGGGGTTTTGTCTCCCAGCTTTTGTTCCAGCACCATATGCTAAGGACATGCTCTTACTCTACAGTCCCACGGAGCAATGGGACCTGAGCTTTTGCTTGTTTGTCAAACGAAAGCATGTAGCTGGATAAAGCTGGGGATCTTCAGACATAGCACCTTACGGCGGTCTGATGCAGACAAAATCAGATTTTTCTCTTATTCCCAAGAGGAGTGGGGAAGTGACTCAGCTTTGGAAATGAACTTCCAGGCAGCTTAGGCTGTTTTGCCAGAGGAGAGTGCTCTTCCAGAGCATGCCAGCCAGTTACTGTATCTAATACTGTCAGACTGTGGTTTGATGGTTATCAGAATGGATACAGAGGGACTGAGAGGTGGTAACACCGCAAGAAAGGACTGCATCTCAGCTTTGAAACCTCGGTTTGCTCATTCTCCTTGAGGATGCTGATCTGGGTCACTGTCAGAGCATTTCAACTCATGAGCAGAAAGAAAATGTACTGATATTCATCTCTGGCCTGTCAAAAAAGGAGAAGCACTAACAAAAATGATTTCACTGATTTTGTGGTTTAGCAAAAAAAAGCTCTACTTCTTGTTTTCCTGTATGCTCTTCCATGCAGATGCTGCTCTCCTCTGCAGTGCTTCAGCTGCAGTTAGTAAATCAATAATTTAATATTAGTGAGCAACACAAATAATAGCATTCCTCTTCTCATTCCTTCTCCTCAACCTAGTCTACAGAAAAGTCAATACTAATTTCACTGTTTCACACTGAAGGAAATAGGGGAAATACTCTGTGTTGCCCTGCTTGATTAAAACATCTTTCATTCTTTCTGGATTTTGCCCTCATTATCATTTTAATATCAAAACTATTTTAGTTTAACAAGAAAATATTTTCTCATGGCTGAGAGTTTTTTCCACTTTGACCCATGCATTCTTTCCTCTTCAAAATTCCCCTTGTTTTGGCTTTGATTTATAACTGGAAGTGTGCCCAGTTAACTTTGAGTTTGCACAATCTAGCTGTTGTACAGCCTCTATTCCTCTCTGTTTCAGAAGAGTCATAGTTTTAACTGGAAAATCACATGATTAAGTATGTATGCATTTAAAAGCTTGACAACAGAAAAATTATTGGTTTTTCCCAGTAAAAGGGCGCAAAAATCTCAGGGAAGAAACATTAAAAAACACATGTTGTCCAGAAAGAAAGGGCAGGTGAAAGAGTTATATATACTTAAGGAACAAACATATTTACTATGCAAATAAAGTTAGTTTTCCAAAAGAATATATTAAAGCATGTCTAGCTGCTGAGTAAAAAATATGGATAGAATGCTTAGAGTAGAATATTTAGATTTAAAGGACAGATAAATGCAAGTCTATCTTTAGCTTAAACTAGAAAAAATATTAAGTAATTATATAAAAGAGATAGAATGGCTTTATGGCTTTTGGAGCAAAATTCTTGATGCATTCTGGGAAATCTGGGATTTTTCTGAAGGATAATGCTATTTTGCAGACATTCAAAGTCATTTTCTGAATTTTTAGGTGAACACGGCCATGTATTGTATAATTCATTTCAGTTATAGAGTCAGAGGTTACATATCACAGCGTTCATCTCAATCTTGTCGTAAGCCGCTCTTCATGAACAAAAGAAACTCTTCAGCTCTTTTTCTTTGGTCTTGAAGAATCCTAAGTCCAAAATTCAAGTTAAATTGATAGATTTTATATCTACTAGGATCTCCCTCCAGTCTTTACAAACCAGTATAGAAATTAAAAAGGACCATGGGAGTTTGGGGAGTGAGGGCACCAAGTTATCCCATTCTGAGCACCTCTGCTTTCTAATTCAGACTGTCTTCCAAATTTCAAGGCACTCAGGGCAGATGAACAGAAAAAAAGATGTAGAATTCTGCCTGATTTGTTAACCTGGGTTTGTCCTAAGTGCAAAATACAATCACATGGATTTAGATTTGGAGCTGGCGTCTGTCTGGCGGGACAATTTTGCATAAGCCGGGGTAGACATACCATAATTCAAGAAGAGGAATAAATCTCTGAAGCCCTGTTTATAAAAACACAAAGGTATTTCTGAAACTATGTGGGTTCCAGCCTAACTGTGTTGCAAAGTCGCCTTGTATCTCAACATGATTTGGATCTAGCAGACTTTGGCATGTTTTTACCACCAGTGTCAGTGACAAGGTCAGGCTTCTGCCTGAGGGCAGCTGTGTGGAGTCTGGGGATGCTCAATATAGAATCATTGAATCATAGAATTGTTAAGGTTGGAAAAGATCTCTGAAACCATCAATCCAACCATCAGCCCATCCTGACCATGTCCACTGAGACATGTCCCTCCTAGGAATTCATGATAGGGGCTCTGTGCTGCTTTAAGGGAGCAAATATAGCTGAATAATGTGTTTTTATCACAATATTGCTCCTGTTTGCCATGATAGCACAGGCAAACCCCACAGCAGGATTTGCTACTAGAGGCAGTTGATTACTTGCAAGTCAGAAGCACTGGTGGGAAAAAGGAAGCTCTAGGTTAAACTCCCCCCCTTGCGTTAATCACTGCAGACAAATACTGCTTCTGGGAAACAAAAGGGAGGTATTTTTTAGAAGCATCACAAATATTGTACGTGTGTAGTTGAACGAAAATTGCAGCAAAGTCAGCTTGTCTTCCCTACAAACAGATCCAGCTCAGCAGGAGTACACAGGAGAGTATAAATTCACATGTGCTCAGGTGAAAGTCTGAAAAAAACCTCCTATTTTCTTTGCCTGTAAATAGAAAAGTCTTAAACATAGTCACATAAACAACAAAATCATCTCAGAAGCGGCAGTATCTAATTCCCATTAAAACCATACTTTCAATCCAGGACAATTTTTAGTTTCTTTCTATGATATTGCTAAGGGGGTTATTTTTTCTTGCCACTGCACTGGAAGTCCTTCACTTTGATCTTAGTTTCTCCCTCTGTGAACACAGTTCATATAAAACTCCAGGCACAGACTCAAACTTAAGGAGACAGGTAGTGCCTGTGGGGAATCTCTTCCTTTTGGAAACAGGGGCACCAGAGAACTGAAGGGCAAAAGTAGGAGAAGAGGAAGGCAGTAGAAAACGGCATGCAGGGGAATTTTGGGTGGTAACCCAAAGGTAACTGGCAGAGAAGAGAAGGTGAATATAAGAAAGAGCATTTTGTTGGAAGTCATAGAGATGGAAAGAAAATAGAATAAATGATAAGTTTGAGGAAAGATGAGAGATTGAACAGGAACAGTACAGTTTTGTCTTTTGTGAAGAAATTATTGTTGTAAATTGGAATTCTTCATAGACCGTAGTAAAATCAGCCCAGTGTGTATCAGTGTGTATTCAGAGAGGCCAACCAATACTGCAGAATGGAATGGCAACAATAATTAAATCTTTACCTTTTTTCAAAAATCTAAGTCCAATCCATTTGTAGGAATACAGTTGCAAAGAGTGAGGCAAACACTAAAGACCTATCTCAAAAACTTGAAGACTTTCTGTATCTTTTCCTTGCAGGCAAAATTCCCATTTGCCACTTGAAGGTGATAGATGCAAGCTTTGGGTTGAGTTCAAGTGATGAGTTCACAAGGACATAATTCCTTATTTCTTTAAATTTAGTGGCAAGGCAAGAATAAGAGACTTGGTTCAAATCTGCATCTTAGAAGATTTTTGTACTTTCATCCAGAAACTTCCAAAAGTCTTCCTTTTTCAGTTGGAATAGCAAGTATTTTGCTGTTTCAGCCTGACCAGAAATCAGCAAGACTAGCTTTTCTCAGGGTATTTCAGCTGGGATCTTGCCATTTGAGCTAAAATGCAGAGCCATGAAAAATTAAAGTGAATGCATAAATAGAGCTAGGCCTTTGAGGGCCACCAAGCTGAAGAAAACAAGGGCAGGGTGTGTGGTCAGCATTTCTCAGCTGGAGCCCTCCATGAGCTCTAAGGACTGCTTGCTGTTAATGACAGGAGAAATCAAGGAATAATCAGCTCCCATTTTAATATGCCACAGCTGAAATAAGCTTTATGTAAAGCAAGCAAGTAGGCCACAAATATCCTAGCAACTGAGATGTGTTTCATGCGGAATGGAAATGGTGCAGTTTTAAAAATACCAAGTGAGCTTTTATAGCCCCTTCTCACAAGGTTAGCTTTTGTAAAGCATTGCGCAGCAGAAGATGTGGATAGCTGTCTTCCCTTAGCAGATGACTCCCACCCACAATTAAATGCAGGTGCAGACCTACCAATTACAGGGTTATCAGTCTAAAAATGCAGTCAAAAGATGCAGGCATAATTAATTTTGTCTGCAGTCTTTTTACCCACTGAAGGTCACGTAGAATATACGCCTGAAACTGAGATCATGAGCTGGTGTTAAATGCTACTGCTAAAAGCCTTGCCTGAAATTCCCATTGCCCTATTTCCCATTCAAAATAAAAATAAATGAATGAGTGTATGATGTGTATATATGAGATATTTCAAACTTTATTGCAAGGTGTTGCTTCCCAAAGACACACATTTTTTCTGAGAGGCAAAACAACATTTTAGAAAATTTGACCCATCGGATTTTCCAGCTGAGACCGTTTATGATCAAAAAGGAGGAAGAATTACTATTGCTTTGAGCTCACCCATGTAATTATTGGATGTGTGTAATTGGTCTGGAGTAATTTGTGGTCAGGCTCTTCAAAGTAATAATACCATATTTTATCACTACGTCAAGAAGAGGGGTCTGTACTGCAATCACAGTATTTTCTTGCAGAGTTGTTTATGCACGATCCTGTGGACAACCGTGGCTAAAACATTAGCAAGCCAAACGCTTGCCTTCAAACTTCACAAAGTTTATTTCAAAAAGGGCAACAGCCAATTTTTATTCTATGAAAAGAGCAACTTTCCCATCCCCTGGGCGGAAGCGGCCTGTCAGCAATCCGCCCCATCAGTAAACACAAACACGTCTGAAGGAAAAGGAAGCATTAGCAGCCTGAGTGTGCATGATTTATGTTTTGCTAACTTCAGTTAAGCCTCTGACCAGAACCGGCTCATACCACGTCCATTCACACAGATGTAAACCCTCACTATTTACTCTTCTTTTCAATGAAAGTGAAATGCTTACTTTACCAGAACATACATCTTAAACAAAAAGCTTTTCCATACCAGCCTTTGCAGTTGAGGAAGCAGCACTTGTGTGCAAAAACATTGATTTCTCAGCACCCAAGTTTCATTATTTCTCCTTATTTACTTACGTTTGTGCTGCAGTAGAACATCTGCCATACCGAGAAGGGCCCCTGTTGCCTGTGTGAGTCCACTTTCCATACTGCGATGGGGAAATATATAGTTTGCTTGTATCACTGATGGACTCCAATGTGACAAATCAGATCTTTACCCAAGCACTGCCTTGAATAAGCACACAAATCATTCCTTGTTATCCCCAGTACGAGTTTATTACAGTCACCACGAGTTTTGGTCGGTGTTGTTGTTGCATGTAAATGCACAGACAATAGCATCATCAGAGATGTGCATGGTGCTTCCATCATTCTGGCTTTGCACCAGATCTATGGGTACGTGGCTTTGTGGGAAATCAAAATGGGGTGCATTTGTGCCTCTTCTGTCATTTCATTGTTTCAAGTGATCTGCTGAAGTATGTTTGAATCTCAGAAACATGCTTCGTTGGTTTGATCTCATCAAATAAAAGCACTGACTACAGTTCCTTGGATTGTTAGTTTTACATCTTTCTCCTCTGACTAACGAACCTGGTTTCCTCCTTTCTACTAGAACTAAAATGTCAGCTAGCAAATATTGTTTGTTTTTAGTGTTACACATAGCCCGGTTCTCTGTTACGTTAAACCTATTGAAAGATAAACTTTGAGATCAAAGCAAATTTCTATGCCTGTGGTTTATTTCATCTAGACTATGGAAAGATGTGGGCACTGTGTGGTAACAATTTGCTCCTACTGAGTCTTCTGTTGTTTATCCAGTTTAGTTGTTCCATCTGTCAGACCATCTGCCTCCCAGTGACCCCATTTCTTTTTTTTCTCCTTCCTTTATGTTACAGGTCCACACGTTTCGAGGTCCACACTGGTGTGAATACTGTGCCAACTTCATGTGGGGTCTCATCGCTCAGGGAGTAAGGTGTTCAGGTAGCCTGCAAACATTTTCAGTCTTTATTGGGAAGTGCTCAGGCATCCATCCCACCCACCCCAGCCTGTATGCACTGCAGGAGGGACAAGCAGGGGTCCCTTTGCAAAACATGCCAAAAAATCCTCCAGTGCCAATTAGAGCTCTGTCATTTTCTCTTGTCCCAGAAAGCACAGACTAGTTTTAAAAAGGAATCACATGTATGCAGCATCCACAATAAAGGCCTGCTGTTAGAGAAGGGATGTCTCTGGTGGGGCCTGTAAAAAGCATCAATCTTTCACATCTCACCTCCCCCCAACACAAGAAGGACATTGAGCTGCTGGAGCAGATCCAGAGAAGGGCCACAAAGATGATCAGAGGGCTGTAGCACCTCCAAAATGGGGGCAGGCTGAGAGAGCTGGGGCTCTTCAGCCTGGAGAAGGCTCCAGGGAAACCTCATTGCAGCCTTCCAGTACCTGAAGGGGGCTTACAGGAAAGCTGGGGAGGGGCTTTTTATAAAGGCATGCAGCAACAAGGACAAGGGGAAATGGCTTTAAACTGTAAGAGGGTAACTTAGACTAGATATTAGGAAGAAATTATTTACTGTGAGGGTGGTGAGAAACTGCAGTAAGCCCAGAAAGGATGTGAATGCTGGATGAGGCTTTGAAGAACCTGGTCTAGAGGGAGATGTCCCTGCCTATAGAAGAGGGCTGGAACTAGATGATATTAAAGGTCTCTTCCAACCCAAACCATTCTGTGATTCCATGTGAAGAACTAACAGAAGTGGAACTACATGTTTTTCAATTACCATAACAGATATTCTGTAAGGAAAGCCTTAATATGTTTTCTTTTCGAAAAACAATCCTAGCTGCTCAAACACAGCATTTTGTCCTGTTTGTTTTACCACACTGGCTAGAATGGAAGGAATCCATAAGCTCTTCCGTACTGAAAATTGCATCCATTCAGCAGTGCCTTGGGAACGCACATGGTTTGGTGTACACATTAAGAATTGGCCTTTGTGATTTCAATAAGTTTTCATTTGACTGTTTTTACATCTTAAGAAACAAGCTCTGGAAACAGCATAGCCAGCCAGCAGCCAGGCTTCATAATTTGTCTTTTTTGCCACCAGTAGTTGAAAAGTGCCCTTGTCTGCAAAAAAATCATCACCTGTTTCCTGTAAAAATACCATGCATTGCTGCAAGCCCTAAATAGCCCACCTCAAGGGAAAACAAATAATATGACTTCATTTTCCCAGAAGGATTCATTTCCTGATGCCTCTATAAGTGTATTAGCATTTTAATAGCATTTTAATTACTTTAAATTTGCTCTCTTGTGAAAAATAATCATGCTGGAAAAATACAATAATCACTGAATCATGATCTTTAGGATTCAGCAAGTGAAATTGTATTTGGTGTGTGGCAAATGGGGTTTCATAACTTATTTCCACAGATCTCCAATGTCTTCCATGTCTCAGATGAATATGAATATGAATATCTTTAAGGTCCTTTCCAGTCCAAACCATTCTATAACACAGTTCTGCCATAACTCTCTCTGACCTGACCCCAGGGTGTTGCTGAACTCAGGCTGGCACCAAACACACTCGCCCTGACCTCTGCCTTTCAAGTCAAGAGGAGGTGATTGTAACATAGAATTTAGACAGCAGCTTGAACGATTAAAATAGCTTCCAGGAATGCAAAGTTACTGTTATGTCTTTTCTGCCTCTAGATGAATAATGGTAACAGAAAGAATATGGAAAGTATAAGAAAAGTAAAATGAATAGTAGGTTGCTTTTAAACCAATATGATCTTAAACACAAGTGTTCAAAAACTGACAAGCACAGAGCTGTGTTTGTTCACATATAAAATACTGAATTTATGAAAAGGTTTATTTATCCAGTATGAAACATAATACTCTCCCTCATTAAATTACCAACATTAACTCTTAGACATATGCATTTGGACTTAACTTCACATACTTGAAGAACAGCACTGAAAGACAGGATCCTAACAGCAGCTGCTCTGATGTGCTTGGATTTCACACAACAGTAATTCATTGTGCAGCAACAACTGTATGAAGAAACATAGAAGAGCCCACCAATTCCATTAAATGTGTCAGTGCGTTTATAGTGATGATCTGATTTTCCTTGATTAATATTTTATGAAGAATAATTCTGCAATGTGTTTCAAGCAGTAGAGACACATTTGTATTTTTCATAGTTTGGGCAGTAAGCCAGCAGGAAAAAACAGTAAGCAACTTGCTAGTGATGACACTGGAAGTATCCAAAAGGCACTGGGTGATAGGCATGACTGGGAAAGCATTAAAACAAGAACCACATTTCTGTGAGATAATGTAACTCACGGTGGTGTTTGCCTTATTGAGGCTTATAAATTCATCTGGCTGAGTGCTTGAATCTATTAGAAAAATTCAATTTGTGGTGATCAAGGAGTATCTTAAGTTAACAGAAACTCACCAGTGCAACCTAGAGTTGATTTTGGAATAAGATACCCCTTATAAGAACAATTTGTAACACGAATCGCTCTCGTTTACATTGTGCCTTTCATGGCATTTTATATGCTCAAACTGACCCATAGACTAAACAGGGGGGTCACTTTAGCCACCAGGGAAGTGACAGTGAGGCTGAAACTGTTGAACAGAACAAGTCAAAATGCTGTGCAGCAGGGATTTGGGAGGGGAGGGGAATTGAACTGACAGCAGTGAACTGACCCAGCCTTAAGAGGGGCTGTCCCCACCAGGCTGAGAGGTGAGGAACACTCAGAGCTCTTGCAGTCTTTTTAGCAGTGGTGCTCAGGTTCACTTTCCCCAGCAGAAGTTTTTCATAGGAGATTTTTGTGCTCATCCTTTTTGTCTTTGGTAATTCTGCAGCACAGTGAACTGTCACTGAGTCCTGTCAGTGTTGTACATTGAGAGGCCAGCAAAGTCATAGAGAGTAATGTAGAAACAACAGACCTTTTCTATGGGGAAGTTATGCCTCTTGGTTGTGCTAAGGAAATAAATTGTTAGACAAAACCTCTCAGCATGGTATTAATTAGTGAACCTGGCTAACTTTGTTTCCAGACTGTGGGTTGAACGTACACAAACAGTGCTCCAAGTACGTGCCCAACGACTGTCAGCCCGACCTCAAGAGGATAAAGCGTGTCTACTGCTGTGATCTGACCACACTGGTGAAAGCCCATAATACCCAGAGGCCAATGGTGGTGGATTCCTGCATTCGAGAGATTGAAGCAAGAGGTTTGTGTGCTTCCAAAGCAGCAGGAGTGATAAAAGGACAATGACTTGAATTACATGTTAAGAGAGTAGTATGCTCTTGTACCATGAGGACAGGATTTGAGAAGGGCTTTTTTTTTTAGCATAGGTGATATGTTGCTTTGCATTAGCTGGTAAAATTAAATAATGGCATTTCATAATGCAATTTACTGAAATGCTTTCTGAAAACATGTCAAAACAGGTATTATGTTACACTTTTGAAAGGGGTGAACTTTAAAGTGAACTTTAAGTTCATGTTTATGTGTCTTTTTTCATAATTTTGTTTTAGCATACCTACAGACACTTCAAGCTTCAGAGTTTAAATCAAACCCATTATTAATAACCGCTGAGGGCATTCTGGGCAAGAACACTCAAATGGCTGGAAATGTCTCAGGCAAATGAAGTCACAGACTGTAGCATTTTGTAGTATCTTGCAAACTGCTCAGATGAGGAATATTTGCATGACATTAACCTGCTGACTGATGGATTCCAAGGCTCAAGCAGCCCATCACAGCCCATCCAGCTTCAGACAGATTTTCACTACTCAGAGATGCATGCCAGATTGAAAAAAATAGTATCTCTCCCCCAGCACATCTACAAGAGACAGGAAGGGTCACGTAGTTTTGTTTTGGATAGCAACTGTGTGTGCTGTGCTGCCCAATAAGCCAAATTTCCCTGTCAGTCACAGCTTTAGCACAGAAATCTCATAATGTTGAGTTCATGGCATCACAGTAATCTGCATAGCAACACACTGATACTAGCCATAGGGATTTCAAAGCCACGCATCATCTCCTGAAATGAATGAAAGATTTACAAGTAAATCCCCTGCACTGCTCTGTAAAGCTCTACCAGGATTATATCATCATTGCAGGGACAAATAGAATAGCTTGGAGTAAGACAGAAGAGCTTTACTGAGATGATACAACAGTCAGCTACACTGCATTTGAGATATAATCACTTGTACATTTATTGATTAACAGAAAATCTGCTATGCATTCCTTTTTTTAAACATCTTTACGTATCTTTCCATAATTGTTGTAGAATGTCATTTTTGTTTTACAATGCTGATTTTGTTCTTAGGAAAACAAAGTGAGTTGGGTCCTATAGGTAGGTTAGCACCGTGCATAGGTGGAATAAGGAGCTCTAAGGTTAAAATAAGTAACATCAGTGTAAGTGTACTTGGTTAGTTGTGTCTGCTTTGCTGAGCTGTCCTTCATTTCACTTTGCCTTGGAGTAAAGGTGGGGGGGCATAAAGCAGGTCTGTTGTGCTGGAAGAACTGCAGAAGGGATATAGTGACATGGAGAATAGCATCCATCACATATATCAGCTTTGTTTAAGTGTAGGTTGACAGCAAAACTGAGAACAAATGTGCTCAAAGGCAAAGGCAGTCTCTTACTTTCATTGTTATTTATTACTAAGCAAATGGTAAAAGCAAAGAAAGCCTTCATTAATTACGGACAAACACAGAAAATCTCCAATATAAAAAGTGTAAATCATGGCAATAACATTCTGCCATTAGCGATGTGCAATATTTGATAGGACGATGATAGGACAAGGGAGAATGGTTTTAAACTGAGACAGGGGAGGGAGGTTTAGGGTAGATATTAGGAGGAAGTTTTTGACATAGAGGGTGGTGACGCACTGGAACAGGTTGCCCAAGGAGGTTGTGGATGCCTCATCCCTGGAGGCATTCAAAGCCAGGCTGGATGTGGCTCTGGGCAGCCTGGTCTGCTGGTTGGTGACCCTGCACATAGCAGGGGGTTGAAACTAGATGAGCACTGTGGCCCTTTTCAACCCAGGCCATTCTATGATTCTATGATTATATGATTCTATAATTTTCTTCTAGCATTACATGCTGTGTATCTGCTGTTATTTTCTGACTGTTACAAAATCAGAAAAAATAAGTTCTTAAAGTTTTTAACCCTGTTAAAAAAATATTTTAACATGCCTTTATTTTTTCCTTAAATGCTCCAGATTTTCACATCACAATATTTTGCTGTATTTATCAGCCCCACCACTGCTTTTGCTTTGTTGTTTTTAAGCCTGCTGCTTTTTAACCTAGTGATTATTGAAGCAAAGTTAACCGAGAAGTTTTTGTTTCAGGTTTGAAGTCGGAGGGCCTCTACAGAGTCTCAGGCTTCACTGAGCACATTGAAGATGTGAAAATGGCCTTTGATCGAGGTACAACATTTTTAAATTTTGTACAGTGTTTTGTTTAAAGTTTCCAGTTGAGAACTTCTCCGTTCTTTTGTGTTTGCATGAATTTCACAATAATGAAATTGGCATGAAAGCAGAAGTACAGTACAATAAGCAGCCACTTTTTGCAGTACTTTTCATAAGACGAAAATGTATTTCCTAGCTGGAAAGATTAACTAAACACCCAATAAATTATGGTACAGAGAAGGCTAAGTGCTCAGGCTATTGGGTGAGTGCTCAGCCTAGCAGTACAACCTAGTTCAAGCATAAGCCTTTTGCCAGGGAAAAGTTCTTGGCCCTATCTTTAGCATACTCACTGCTTTCTATTATGGTAATCTGTTTATGAGCTCAAGAAGCAGGAACTGCTACTGAACAGTCATTCTGAATGCAGCCTTGCAGGAAGCAGCACACCACCATGCGTATGATTGCCATTTCTGTGTCTGCACTGCAGATGAAAGGAGCATGAAAGAGATGAGTTGTACAGCTTATTGAAAAATTGTATTAACTGAAACACTACCTCTTAACCATGATTACCCTTGTAGCTGTAATTAATTGATTTGGCTGATTTCTTTGGTCCTGGTCATGAACAGTCATTGCATGCAGTGGTTCAGTAGGTCAGGACCTCACAGGTCCTGTCCCACCACCTCAGACAGCAACAGATGAGGGTGGGGGACAGGAGAACAGCTGAGGTTCACCTCAAGCCCCATCTCTGGGCACCTTCCTGGTAGCATGGTTGAGCAGTGAGTCCATGATTCAAGATCAGGATCAGCTCCAATGATAGTAACCAGGGTCAGACACAACCTGAGTCATCCATGGGGACAAGGCAGGTCCAGCTAAAGCCAGGCAGTCAACCTGCAGGTTGGGGCACAGATCAGCAGGGTGAATGACCAGGCACTGGCATGGCCATGGTACAGCTGGAGAGAAGTGAAGAGTTACTCAGGCAGGAACTGGAGCCTGAAGTCTGCAGTCCCTGTGGACAGGAGGTGTGGGAGCAGGCTCTAGGTGAGGCTCCTAAGGGCCAGCAAGGTCTATGGGTGCCCTCACGGTGTGGCATACAGTACACTTACTGTGCCTGAATACTTCTTTATTTGGAGATAGTGTGCCATGCAGACTTCATTGGCAAAGAAGTCCAACTATGTAAGTGGGAATTTCCAAAGTGATTGTTTTCATTCCATATGCAAATATTTTTTTTAAAATTATACAATAAATGTATTGGATGCTGCAGTTATGAACATACATATGTTGATCAGACATCATTTGGATGAAAGAGATATTAAATGCTATGTCTGCTATCATACCAAGGTGCACATTGCAGACTTGCTGTGTTAAGCAGCATTACTGAAATGGTCACAGGTCACATAGCTACCATTCTGTCTGTCTGGGTATATCTAGCCTGACTAATTCTTCTGTTCTGTGTGTTAGCTCTCTTCTGCGTGTGCCAACCTGAACAAAACCCAAGTGGGGAAGCACAGGCTGAGGAGAGATGGGCCTAAAGAGAGTAGCCAGAAATTTGTGTTTGTGTGACTTGCATGCTGCTGTAGCTGTTGTTCATTTGAAAATGCTTCTAACCACCAGAGCCAGCTCAGTTTTACAGAATATTCCGTTACTGTTGCTGATATTCCTGTCATAATATGGTGGCAATACATACTAGAATTGGAGTCACAGCGGGGAATATAGCATGATTTGCTGGAAAAAGCAGCATCTGTAAACAGGAAGAATAAAGTCACGGGCAGTGTCAGATTTCCAAAGGGAAAAGTATGAGTAAACACAGAAGCAGAGAAAGCAAGGACCAAGTTTGCATACACAGACTATAAGGAAGCCTATTGGGCATAAATTAATAAAAAGCTATGTCTTCATTTTCCTTTGACAATCTCTTGAGGGAAAAGGGATAAGAAAGGAAAGAGAGGATTGCTGTGTTGCCATGAGTAATGCTAAAAGCAAGGAACAATGGACAAAAGATTGTAACGGGAATGTACGACTACAGTATTACTGAAACCAGATACTGAAAACTTTCCTTTCTGCTTCTGAAAATGTTTTCTCCCTGAACTGCGATTGAAAGCAGAAAGATACTTTTCTTCCTCTTTTTTTTTTTTTTTTTGGTGTGTGTGTGTGTGTGTGTGTGTGTATGTGTAGTAAGCACTCTAAAGAAAACAAAAATAGATTTTTTTGCCTGACTTGTGGGCTGCACAGCTTGAAGGTGTTGTCAGCTCACAGAAGGTTACACTGGCAAAAGATTTCCAACCTGACAGCTCAGGGCTGACTTCCCTGTCAGATCCAGGCCTAGAGAGACAGGGACCCTCGCCTTTCTTCTGCATCTCCTCCCCTGTGTCACCCTCAAAGCCTGAGCAGCAAGGAGCGCAACATCCCAAGGGCATGACATATCCCACATCTCTTCAGTAGGTGTCAGAGCTGGGTGGGAAGGGAACTGAGGGCCAGGTGCTTGACTATTTAGGGGTCCCTTTCTAACCATCTGAAAGCAAGGCTTTGAAAGGAGCGTCTAATAAAAGTAGGGGCAAACACCTTAGCTAGTTTTTAAATGCAAGCTGAGCGATTTATTGACAGGATGGTACTGCATGGTGCCTGTTGTTACAGAGTGTCACACTCAGTGACTGCAGATGTCTCCCCTTTCCTTTGTGTCTGAGCCACCCCCGGGCTATGATGTGCTGTTGCATCTCTAGAAATACAGCTCTTGATAACTGCTTTTGAAAACAAACAAGAAAGAATTCCTCTTATTTTAACACACAGGATGCATACTTCAAATAATGCCAGGAAGCCTTCTGGTATCACAGCTTTCCTTCATCAAGACATGGGTGAGAGAAGACAGAATAATGTATGGATTAGGCACAAGGGCTGACTCGGCCATAGGGTCGTTCTCCAGTTATTCCATTTGCAGCCAATCGACAGAAGTCAGCCCTCCCCGTGACCGACTGTCCCAGCGCTGTCAAAGGGACACTGATTTGTTGCTGTCAGAGAATTACAGTGAGGACTGAAAAGTTGAATATCTCAGAAAGAGAATGGCATCCCACAGAATGTTATTCTGGCTGTAAAGCTGTGACAGTTATTTTTAAAACTGAGAGAAGTTGGTCCTCATCTTGTTTAAACGAAGGCTGCCTTCTAGAGCGAAAGTGGTGTAAATACTCCTGCTGTCAGAGAGGGCTGCGCTTGCTGGGGCACTGACAATGTTCCATTTCAGTGCTTTTCATAATGAGAATGGAAGGAATAATATGGATTTATTTATCCTTGTGAATGTTGGTGCTGTAAAACAACAGTTGCTCTCTGTGAGCATTGTCGAGCTGTGGCACTTTAACAGCCATAAAACTCCCATTGTGTGCTTTACCCACAGAGCTGCCGTTGTCATAAATGCGTTCTGTCCTTCCACTTGTTTCTATGACTGGCTGGTACAATACACTTGCTAAAAATATTTTGCTGTTTAATATTACATGAGTACTCAGAAGCATCCTAGCTCATCCTCACACTCCTTTGCCAGTGTGTCTGAAAACCTGTCACACTGAAATTCCAAATAGTTACCAAGAAGCACATTAGCTTGGCAAAGGCTGTGCAAGAAAAACAGAAAGGGAGAAGGAACTTGGATAGAAATATAATTCAGTATTCAGAGGGCATAGCTGAGGCTTTAAGAATCTTATACTTACTCCATTTCCTTTTCTAATAAACTACTGTGGCATCAAAATAAAGGAAAAAACGCTTCTCTTGTCTTAAAAAAACATAATGCAAGAAAATCTGTTGAAACTCAAAGCAAGAAGGAAAAAGGAGTGACAGGTCTGAGGTAGGATTAAATCTATAAAGATTAAACAAACTAGAGGCTTGCAATGCAATATAAAAAAAAAGATTGCATTAACAAATGTGATCACATGCAGTATCACTGCAGCGATCTGAGGAAAGTTCCTGTACTGAAGAGCTAAAAAGACAGCTGTGGTAATGCAGAAAGTACTGTACCAAATATATGTATTTCCTGCAGTTTGTTGGTGTAGATGAACTGCTGTAAAATAGATGTCACGGGTTTACCTGCAGTGGATCAGTTTTTTTATCTGTAGCGCTTTGAATTTGAAGCATACCTGAATAAAAATCCAAATGCAGGAATTAGGTGAGGATAAGAGAAAAGTGTAGCCTAACAAAAGGTCTTCCATGACTGAAAATGAAAGGAAAAGAAAGAATCCAGAGTCTACTGAAGGAAAAGAAAAATTCCACCTTCCCCTAAATAACCACTGCAGAAGTAGAGGTATTTTGTGACAGACATATTATTATCATTAACAAAAATCTCAAAACAAAATCTTCAGTGTGTTTTCAATGGATGTATTTTTGTCTCTGAAGAGAGAAATGTTTTACTTGGGAATTAATGCCTTTTTCCTACAGTAAGTGGGCAGAGGTGTGTTTGGAGTACATTGCAGTTTGAAGTACCTCAAGCCAAAGTGCCCCTTTAAGGAAGTTTGCTGGGCTGCTGTGCAAAAGTATTAAATAAATAACACTTCTATTTAGTGTACCAGTGACCTGGATAATAGATGCAACCTTCTGCTTTGCTATATCTGTCCAGATGCAGCTGCTGTCTCCTTGAAAGTATCTGTTTTCAGTGCAGCATTTTGAGCGCTCAGTGTCCATCAATTAAATAGAGCTCTCCACACAACACTTAATAGAACTAATGCTACTGGGCCTGGAACGTGTGGATTAAACAAAAGATTGGGGCAGTGTAAACATTCTCCGAGGGGTTATTGATGCTGTATTAAATTAAACGCTGATGGATGTATTCAGACTGCTCAGCTGCATCAAGAAAGGCTGCTTGTTTTAAACACTTAAGCGTATAATCTCCTCTTGATGAGAACATGTAGGGCTGTTAGTCTTAATGAGAATTATGTGCATACATTGGGCAGGACGTATGCCTTAAAGATTAATGCCATAGGTTTGTATAAAACATCTACAATCAATATAAACTGTTTTACTCGGCCGTGAAAGCCTTTATCACCATCTTAGAAGCAGTGCATCAAACATAGCACCTCATCTGTCTACATCAGTGCATGTCTACAAGCACCAGCAATTGTGAGACAAGCAAGGCAATGGATTTACAGTGCGTCAACCCCTCAGTGGTAACAGTCTGAGCTTGTGCTTTGCACCTCCTGGCAGACACAAGCAGACTCCCTTCCACTGCTGCAGCAAGCACAATCTTGTGTGGCCACAGTCATCAGGTAGTCCCAAGTTGCTGCTGGCTTTATTTTTACTGCCACTGGCAAGTGAAGTGCTGTTATCCTCACTTTAAAGAGCTCAAAGGTTTAACTGATCTCAGAGAAGCCCAAAGTGAAGTTGGGTATTAAATCCAGACATCTGTTTGACTGCTGCCCTGTCCTGTCCCTCTGCTGCCAGGCCCAGCAAGGGAAATAGGCACATCTCCTCCAGGGAGGGAAGATACCCGCATTGCTCAGGAGTTTAAAGTGCTAGGTAGTACAGAACAGACATGGACATTTGAACTTGGAAATAATAACCACTCAGCTTTGCTGGTATTACTTGTAATTTCACTCATTGCAAGCCATGTAGTGGGCACGGGCTGACCTGCAGCAATGGAAATTTTAAACTCACACGTTAAAAAGTGTTCCATAATGGAATTTTGAACAACTGTGTTAAAATATATAGAGGGAAAAAAAAAAGGAAAAAAAGTATGTCATTAGGGTTGCATAATTCAACAATTTAGCTGTTCATCCATTACAACTATCCATATTCATTTAACAAATTGCAATCCACATTTGGGAATAAATTGTGTAGCTAAATGCCATAGCATGTCTATTTAAATTCAAATCTTTGCAACAAATAAATAATTCAGATATGAAGACATTAGAAGGCATCTGGAAAATAAGAAGGCTTTCTGACTAGCTAATCAGCATAGATGGATTGGTACAGGACTCAAAAGATTTGGTTGTGTGCTCTGATTTTTGCTGCTTGTCTCCTGGGGGATGTTGCAAATTTATGCTATTTTTATACACCTCTGTTTCCCTAAATGCAAATAAAAGTAGGGGGCTCTACTCCTGGGTATTGATCTGTGGATACAAAGTACAACATCGAGACAAGCTGCTCACAGCTTAGTTTTGACATTTAATAAATTGGCCAAATTCAACAAATACATTATTAACATGACTTTTTCATCCAACATTAAACATCCCATGCGAGATGACACACTGCAGACACTGTTCATGCAATCACCAGCCTCACCAAAAGATGTCAGCTAATGCATTATTTACTAAGTGATATGGAAACAGCCATTCCTCATTCATCCACTGTAAAGTTGGTAGCAATATATTCTCATTTAAGCCTTCCAAATGCTTTCAGGTTGTTTTTTCTTGTCAGGTTGGGCACAGTAAATCTGAATTAAGTCCTGCCTTGCTTCAGTCAGAATTAGACTGTTTTCCAAAAAGATTTCTTCTTTCTCTTCCAGATGGTGACAAGGCTGATATTTCTGCCAGTATTTATCCAGACATAAACATTATTGCTGGAGCACTGAAGCTGTATTTCAGAGACTTACCAATTCCTGTGATCACCTATGACACCTATTCCAAGTTCATAGAGGCAGCAAGTAAGTATTGCACAGTAATTTGTACAGTTCTTCAATTATGTTTCCCATCCATTGCACTGTTCACAGTAAAGACAGACAACAAATTGGAAATGGGCATTTCTCAGCCATATATTACTCTTAAACGGAAGTTTTGCTTGATTGTTATTGTAAAAGGAACATCATGCAAGTAAAAAAACAACAACAAAAAAACACAACCACAATAAATGTAGACTATAAAAATACTGCTTAGCAAAGAATATAGAGATCTGTGGTACCTAAGAAGTAGCACATTTTCTTCTTTAAAAAGTATCTTTAGTGATTTTGAAATGGCAATATATCTATATGCAAGAGGTCTGTGTCACCATGCTGGGTTCACCTTCTGGTCACCCAAACTTGCACTGCCCTTGCAGCCACAGGCAGCTTTTGTGCTCTTCTACCTTAGACAGAGAAATTATTTTATAATTATTTTATACTTAAAATTATTTTATAACTCATAAATCACATACTCAGATGAAGCAGTTCCTATTGTGAAATACAGTAATCTTTTAAAAGCAGGGCATAAAGATTCTTAATTTTCTAAAATATCATGTTCCTGATACCATTTTTATGAAAAGTCATGCAACAGATACAAATCTGATTCACTTCATATTTTTCATGTAAAATACATGTAAAAACCAATCAGATTTTTAGAGGGACTGCCAGTCTTAAGCAAGCACTGACATTCTCGCATCACTTATTCCAACGTATTTAAATACGTTCAGCAGTCTCACCTTGTTTGTGTAATTCCATGTCACTTCAGTCTCTCTACCTAAACTTCAGCACAGTCCAGTATACTCAAGAACAGTGTCTGAATCACATGTCCACACTCCTATCTGTTTTGGATGGCTAATTTTGGAGGAACCTTATGTGAGATTTTATTAAAAAGTCATTTCCAGACAGTGTATTATGAAGAATTTAATGAAGTTCAGGTACTGTACCTACTACTGTAACTAGAGCTACAGTCTGTAGAGAAGGTAATGTCACGCTGGAACAGGTTGCCCAAGGAGGTTTGAGGATGCCCCATCCTTGGAGGCATTCAGTGCCAGGCTGGATGTGGCTCTGGGCAGCCTGGTCTGGTGCACATAGCAGGGGGGTTGAAACTAGATGATCATTATGGTTCTTTTCAATGCAGGCCATTCTATGATTCTATAATTTTATGACTATGGGGTGGTTTTTGTTGCTGATTTCTTTGTAAAGCCATTCTTTGGAGAAGTTACTTCTGTGCTCCCTGTTTATGAGTTTGGTATTTATCCCTGCAAGCACAATCAGTGGCTTGTGAAGGGCTCCATAATGACAACTTAGCTTCCTGAATTACTGCTGTTTACAAATGAAAGGCTCTATTAACATTAATCTATTTGGTGTTTTACAGAAATCTCCAATCCTGATGAACGACTAGAAGCAATACATGAAGTGTTGATGTTACTCCCTGCTGCTCACTATGAGACACTTAGATACCTAATGATTCATCTCAAAAAGTGAGTTAATTGGCATGCAGGATAATTCTTGAAAAGCATAACACTTTTCTGCATTGAAAGACCAGTATTACAGAAAATATCAATAAAGCTTCCGTATCAGCAGTACCACTACAGCAGCAACATTACAAACAAACAGACAAGCTATGTTTGCACAAATGCCTATAAACTACGTATATATATAGTGTAGATCCTTCTGCTGGCAAATCATTGCAAGCCTTTGAAGAGTTAATTCAGATTTGACACATTTCTCTGAGGCAGATTATATCTGAAAAAATACCAGAATGGTAGGTACTTTAGAGAAGTGTTAGATGTTCTGTGGCAAGTGATTTGATCACGGTTTCCTTCTGCCTCCCCGTACCTCCCACTCTGTCTCTGTCCTCTGGTAATACAGCTCTAAAAGGAAGGAGCTGTCTCTCACTGATTGCTCTCTTCATCTTTAAGCCACGAAACAAGTGGGGCCTATTTTATACTTCCAGTAGAAGCAGTTATGGGCTCTCTCCAAGTATTTCCTATCTTCTTCGTTTTAAAACACAAAGGGACAAGATGCCTCACTCTCACTAATTTCAAGCAAAACCACTTAGCTACTTTGGGCATTTGCATGCCTCAGAAAGTCTTGTTTGCAAGTGCTTAAAAGCTGAAGCTGAGTAGAGACTGACACAATCATCTCAAAGCAAGCCTCACTTTAAGAATATATTGCCTGCATATATTTAAGAATATATAATACTCTTCTCTGGTTAAAGCCAGTGATGCTACTTGGACATGACAGAAAAGGGGATAAGGGAGAAGTAAAACTATTTGCCTTTGGAGAATTTTCTGATTTTCATCTGCATATTCTGCACTATTAATACCAAAGTGAAAAGAGCTCAACTGAGGTAAAATCACATCAGAGAGCTTGTGTGAAGTGCATTTCATGTTTAATCAGGTTCCCATTATGCAGAGACTTTTCTTCGTTGGTTCAGGTCAATTACACAGAGTAATTTTTTCTTTTGATGAGACATTACCTGAGCATGCAGGATCTCCTGGGGACTCTGCAGAGATGAGATGTGTAAACAGCCATCCTTGTAGCACATTCGCCTGGATGGTGGTTCAGGATGAACATGGTTCAGGATGAACCACGCCAGCTTTTAAGAAGGCCATGTCAGTAATGAAAAATGAGTTTGTCAGCCAATTAATTAATTGCTATCTTCAATCGTATTGGAATGTTCTTTCTGGTAACATTTTACTTAGAATTGGAGGCAATAGAGTAGAATAAGCAGTCCCCCCTGTGGTGAAACTCATATAGCTCCATCCACATTGCAGCTGTGCAACTGAATCTCCTCTGTGCTCATCTCAGGCCTTGCTGGGAACAAGCTCCATATACCTGTACAGGGGTGCTAGTGAGATGTATAGTGAGGTGTATGTGTTATAGCACAGCTGTTCAACATTCCTGTTGCACACAGGCACAGGTAGAAAGCGGTGTTGGGCTTGCACAGTGTCTGGGGCTAAGCAGGCTTGGTTTGCCTTTTCTCCTTGCAAAGCTCAGCTAACCTATTTGTTAGAATGTGGTGATGCACCTGTGAGTAGGGACACTAGTGGATTTCTGATCTGAAAACAGAGAAACTGTGTTTTTCAGTGATAGTCACTCTCTGCAGAGGGATGGTGGTAGACAGAAAACCTGATCATGTACAGACCCTGTGAATGAGAAGGCCAGAATGTCTCTTCTGGATTCAGCCTCTGTGCTCCCCAAGAGGCATCCACTGCCCAGCTGCAATCCAGTTGGGAATTACTATGTCCAGGGATGGCCCCAAGTGCTGGCCATACTCAGCATGACACACACCAAGCAAGACACAGAGAGCTGTAATTACTGTAGAATGGGGAACTGCTCCATGTGTGATATTTTCTACCATGATTACGCTTCTCAAAAAAGCAGCTTCCACTAATTCTTATACCTTAAAGTATATAATAATGGAATAATCGCTGAAGAGTTGCAGGAGGAGTTTTTAAAGGCTCTGAAATACACAGCCCAACCATAATTGCATCGTACTTGCAATGGAAATAGTTACTGTGGAAATTGGTACTATATTGAGTGAAAACTCTCATAATATGGTAAAAATACCGTTATTGGGCAATGCTTGGTGTGAAGCACAGCTAAAGTTTAAGATGCAATATGTATTTTTCTTCAGGGAAGTAAACAGCTACTTACTTTTCTTTTCTATTTTAGGGTTACTTTGCATGAAAAGGAGAATTTTATGAATGCTGAAAACCTGGGAATAGTGTTTGGGCCTACTTTAATGAGACCTCCAGAGGACAGTACCTTGGCTACTCTGAATGACATGCGGTACCAGAAGCTAATTGTGCAAATTTTAATAGAAAATGAAGATGTTCTCTTTTAGACAAATATGGGCACATCTTCAAAACCACTTGTTTTAAAATGATTAGTTTGAAGGGAAAACAACATTTCTTTAATTTTTTTTTTTTTTTTAAATAAAGGAGAACTTCCTTGGCTGCACTTCAATTTCTGCAAAGCTGCAGATGGATGCCAAAATGTTTAGGGAAAGCCTGTGTCTCATAGACATATGCCTCTTTGTAGAAGGGGGAAAAAAAGGTCAGAAAAAATCCTCTCACCTTGTATCTTTTGCCTTGCCTCGGGTGTATATTTGTTTTGAGAAGCTGCAAGCAATTTTATTGTTAACTTATTAAGAAACACAAAACGTATTTTAATATGGCTAGAGAAGCAAAAAGGTACTTAATCAGCATTATTTGTATACAGCTATACATTTCCCTCTCCATAAGACATAATTATATATGTCAATTGTGAAACAAAACCTATATTATAAAGATATTTTTACTTTATCTAGCTGAAAGAATGGCATTTTATTTTAGCAAACTACAAATCAATGCGGTGCATTGATTGTTTTCCACATAATTCTTTCCTGCATTTTTGCTATGATATATTGAAAACAATTACCACGAATGCAGTATTATCCTGACATACCTCTTTCATGGCAAATGTTTTAAAGGAGAATCTTCTTTTTCTTGTGTGTATTCCAACTTTCCTTAGGTTTCTTTGCATTTAGGCACTAGCATTCCAAGACTGTGTAGTACACTTTTAACCATTTTGTATTTCTCAAAACATACAGTATTTTCTCTTTTTTGTTTTGGTTTTTTTTTTAATCCCATATTAAATATGATATTGAGAATTTTCAAAAGTTCTGGTGGTAGTATCAGTTTCACATGCCAGATATTTTTTAAATTATTATTTCATTAATATGTAAGTTAAGTGATGCTGGGACACTGGATATTTTCTGGCCTTGTTGAAAAGTCAGCACTTTTTTGCGTTAAATATGAAGGATTTGGTTTTTCTGTAAAAATCAAGCTATGTTTTGTCATGTTTCTGTATTTATAAGTGTACAGTAAATCTCCTGAAAATGTAGGATATTTCTCTTGAATGTGTTCCAGATGGTTTGTTGTTTGTCTTTGTTTTTTTAAAAAGAGGACAAAAAAACACAAGAATATGGAAATGTGGAAGTCGGTAATTTTAATTATTACCAAATTTTAATATTTTTCTCCCCTCACAGACATTGACTACAGAGTTCATAGTCTAACTGCAACTTATCCCTAATGTTAAAACTGTTGCTCAGCATGAGATGTTTCTGCAAGTATAGAAAATCAGCATACTTTACTACCAAACTCAATTTTCAATACAAAAGAAAATATAATAATCCCTCATCCTGATCGTTTGTATGATATGGTGGGTTACTCAGTTTCCTGAATTATTTCAGGGAGCACATGTTTCTATTCAAATTGAAAAAAAAAATACATGTAACTATGATAATGAAGGAAAGTGGAGGGTATTATTGTAAATTTGTTGTCTTCTAGAGAAATAACTAAGGGCTAGATAGATTAACCCAGATTGCAGAGCAAATGCTAAATAGTCTGAGTTCCCAATACTTCTATAGATCCTCCTGACTTGTACAGGACTATTCGTTGTAGGTTATGTACTACTTAATACTGTCATAAAAATGATCTGGAAATGGTTTTATTTTGTGAAGTGAAATATGCTTTGTAATTTATGATAGTGTAAATGGAAGGAAAATCCCATTAAATGTGTTAAAGAGTTCTGGTGTCTGTCACTGACTACATGGCAAACTGCCAAGTGAAAAATCAATCACTTACTAACTACTGTCTTGGCATGGCTGGGAAACACTTGGAAAATGCAGAAGAGCTTAATTGCGACAAGCAGTTTCAGAGGGGTGCTTAGAACCCCATGCAACCAAGCCTCGGTGCACCAGGATTTACTGCAGTCACTCCAAAGCACCTCTGTGTAAAACTTCCAGCAAGCATAGAATCAAAAATACCAATTCAATCCATCTTAATGCTTTCCAAAAATCAATGTCATCATAGCAGTTTTCTACTCCTTTGAATGCAGACATTTGCCTAGCAATGATTTTCTTTATTTTTTCTAGCCTGTTCAGTAGTGTGTTATTTTGTAAAGGCAGAAACAGTGCCATTATTCTTATTTTTGCAGGAAAACAGGCAGTTCTGTTTCTGTTCCTTCCTTCCCCTCTACCATTGGCAAACTGGTAGTCTTTGAATGTTAACACATGTCCCAGCCTAAGGATTCAAGCAGTATGTTCAGAAATACCCAAGCAATAGCATCTCTAGAGGCACAGGAGTTTCTCATACATTCACTTGAGTGCTGAATACAGTTTTGCACCTCAAACAGCAACGAACTGTCCATGTTTACTCAGCTAACATGGGCCAAGTGTCTTCGGGAGCTTGCTGTGGAGATAGTAGGCTCCCTTCACCTAACACAGCTACGTGGCCTGGGAATCAGGTGAGCCGCCTGAGCACAGCTCAGTGTCAGAGCCTCTTTTTCTCCAGGTCCTTGAGAAGGACTTTGGTGGGCTGCTGCAAGGGCTGCCATCTGCCAGTCAGCAAGCCCCATCTCCTGGCAGGGTGCAAGCTGTCCTGCACCCCAACAAAGCTGGGTCGCTGCACATATCACATTGAGATGACTCACCTCCCATACAGCAGAAATGTCTCAGTACTCATAAAACACTGCTTGGAGTTAATGATTTATAAGGCAGTCACTTTCATCAGTTTTGTGGAACTGCTGAAGTCTCTTCTTTGTGGCAGAATCATTGTGAGACTCAAAGCTGTCTGGTTTAAATATTTTGAATCTCAGGGGAAAACTTAAGGAAATGTTTCATGAGAACAGTGCAGTCTGATATTTACAGCTTGTGTCCCACACACTGCAGAGCTGTGCCTTTCCCCTATGCCCACACCAGTTGGTTTCCTCACCTCCATCCCTGGAGTCCCCTGCTGCACAGCTGGCCCATCCCATGTTGGACAAGAGGCAGCACATGCTGTGCCTCCCTCCAAACTGAGTGCAAGGCTGGATGGGGAGCTGCCAGGGGTCTCTTTAGCCAAGATGCTGGCTCTGATGTGGGCTCTTCTATTCAGACATCAGTTACCACGAAACTTAATTCTTTCTCTCCCCCGCTGTCTGATATCACTGAAACTGGACAAAAGATTCAAAAGTTACCGGGGAATAATTTGCAAAAAGAGAAATGAGGAGCCTACAGACAGTTTCTATAGGAAAATTTACAAGTGCAGTTACAAAGGAAACAGCTTTGCTCTCAACTCCACTGCTCTGTATGCTGATGCCAGTTTAAGCTACAGAACAGGCATTTAATTTTATTTCTAAGCAAAAAGTAAGACTGCAGTTTCTTGTGCACACAGTAGCCTGAAAACACACAGACGAGGAGGCAGATCTGTAGACACTAGACCTAAGACATTGGGAAGGGCTATATCAAGTTTGGGATCTCTTCTGATATGAGCTGCTTGAGAAGAGACCTGAGCAGTGTGTGACTGCCAAATTTTGGACAGATCTGTGAGTGAGTATCTTGCAAAACCCTCAGAGAGGTGCCTGTGGTAATAATCAGCTAGGTTGAAAGAAATCTTCAAGTCCCATTGCCAAAGAGGTGAAAGTGAGCACAGGTACTGCAAGCAGTTTACAGAGCACGTGGAGAAATCATGCGTTCTGTGATAAGCTCTAACACACACAGTGCAGGTCTGTACAGGCAGGACACTGGGAGCTGCCTAACCTTGTTGGCACAGAACACTACCAGGGCTCACACGTCTGCAGAGAGGACGCTGCCTGAGCCCACCTTGACTGCTGCTCCCCCATCTCCCATCACACCTTGAGCAGAAGACAGCCCACAGCCACAGCAGTGGGACCCCCAGCTGCTCCCACACACAGCTTAGCTCCAGCAGGACAGAACCCGTCCTTCATATTTCCTTATTGACAAGTACAGACTCAAGGTCTGCAGAAAAGGGAGGGAGAAGATTTGAGTGCCAACAGACAGACCCCACTGCCAATAGCCAGGAACCGATGAAAACTGAGCAGGAAGGTAATTCACACACAAGAAGAATGCCATCTAACTGGATCCTCTAAGCAAAATTATGTTGTTCTATCTTCCCAGACTATCTAAAGGCAATGAAGAGACTCTTATCTCATTGAGATAAGAAGAGTAAAAGCATCTGTATATCTTATATTCTTTAGCCAGTAGAGATTAATTCCTTGATTAAAGCAAAGATCACGGTTAAAATTCAGAAATCTAAACCTTAAGAAATGGTGGTTATTGCTGAGTGCCGTAGGGCCTAAGTATTTATGACATCGGTGGATCTTGCTAGGCCCATCCTTTACACTCATTCCCTGAAGGCATGGTCTTCTGGTTGTAATTATGCTGATGCTATGACTAAAGCTGGGATCCATAGTTCAAATAATCCAGCCTGAAGGACCTGAATTACTGCAGGGTGGTGTAAAGGCTACAGTTAGGTAGAATGTGTCCACTGGGGCCTTTACCTTATAAGCTGCAACAGAAATAAGCAAGGAGTTATAAGTGAAGAACCTGTCAGGGTTCTGTTTATGTTACTTATGGGAGTGTTGTGAACCAAGCTTACCTCAGGATGCTGGAAGCTGCATTCCATGTGTGATCATTGGGCCTGACAAGGAGTCAGCGTTGTGCCTTTTTGCAGAAGTATCAGCCATTTGTCAATATTAATAAGAAGATCAGAATGAGGACTAAGGTTAAATTTAGGGTTAGGAGCTATGGATCCTGAAGAATGCTAATTGCTGCTGACAGTATTTGAAGATACTTTATTTTCTGTTCTACTGTCAGGCAGGCATGTGTATGACCAATGTGCACAAAGGTCCAATTTACTATGTGTTGCTGCCCAAGAACATAAGAAGGAAGCCTAGGGTACATAGGTATTTATAACAAGGAGCTGAGGTTAGGGTTAGGTTAGGAATCCAATACTGAGGAATTTGTTTCGTTACTGGATGCTGCACAGCCCTCAGTATTAGGAACAGGGCTGATGTCAGTAAGAGACAGCTACTGGGGGACAAGAGGGAAGAGAGCAAGAGTGTTGTAGACTTAAGTCTAACAGTTACAATTGAGTAAGGAATTAACGTTAAACTTAGGAAATCTGAAGCCTGAGAATCAGAGTTAATGCCAATATATATGAAGTAACATCTCTATTAATACACTGCGTTGGTAGGCATTAGTGCTTTATGGTTTATTTTCCTGAAGCTTTGGGCCTTCATTTTAGAAATGGGAATTGTTAGGATGAAGTTTCAGAATCTGCTGTGCTCTGAGCTGAATTTATTCATGAAGTTGAATTCTTCATTGAATGATGGAGATCACTAGCATTAGCACAAGCTTATGTTCTTGGTTCATCTACAAGTCTAGCTCCCTTCATAAAGCTACCATTGGGGCTCATGTAATGACACTGTCCAGGTTATTGCTGGAGGTGAGATTAGGAAATTTAAGACTACATCTGTGTCACTCAATAAAACAGGGCTAAGGATTTCTCCCAAGCCAAGCAGCACAGACTCCTTGTCTACTTTACATAGGACTTAACTGAGGTCCCCTTAGGGCCCAAGGTGTCACTGTGGCCTCTGAAAGTATTTAATTTTTCTAAAGACATTGAAACAAAAATTGTCATTTAGTGCCTGAAAGGCACCATGTTGCAGTCCATCAAACTGGTACATTCAGTCCTTGAGCTGAGGTTGTTCAGTGCACGTCCTAGACTGCAGAATGAGGAGTAGTTGTACACTGTCCTGTCCTGTTGAGGGCACACAACCTTTTGCAATAAAGCTGGAGGACTGTGGAGGGAGACAAATTGATGTTGTTTTGTCTGTTCTGTGTAGAGGAAGGAAACCTTTACCTCTTACAGTCTCCAAACCATGCCTGAGCAGTGAATATTAAACGACATGAGGGGAAAATCAAACAAGGGAGTCACCATTAGCACTAAGACCAATTCAGGTGTCACAGATTTCAAACTTATTCTCCGTAACTTATCTGTTATGGGTTTTTTGGTCAAGACAGTCATAGACTAGATGTGAAATGCTTGATTTTTTACACATGCTGCAGTTCCACAGTATTAACCAGCAACCTGGCGTTAGAAGGGAAAATGTTCCCCGCTACAAAACAGCTGGAGTCCTTCACTGTGGTTATAGCAAAGACGAAGGTTTGAAAGTGCTGCCAGCACTTGGAAATCTAAAGCTTAAAGAACTGACAACTTTGCTGACTTCTTCAGAGCAGACATCCTGATGTAGATGGGAGCCAATTTTTATCACAGAATCACAAAGGTTGGAAAAGACCTCGAAGATCATCTAGTCCAATTAGTAGACCTGTCAACACCATGATCACTAAACCATGCATGTCCATGTCTTCTTGTGGTCTTTTCCTGTACCTTGGTTATAATTAACCACAATTAGCAGGCTGACATACTGATATCAGTATGGTCCAATCATACTCAAAAGGAGCATGTTACAGCATAGAAGAATAGGCCCTACAGTTTCCTTTAGCAACATACTGTGGTGTCTGCTATAATCCTACACATACAACCTAGATGAGACTACAGAATCGCATTAGCTGTTATCCTCCCTTCCTGCAAAAAAGAACAGAATTTAACCTCACAGTCATAATACAAAACTGTAATCTAACTTCTAAGTATTGACAGAACGTTCGACTGTCTTGCTTTCTTTTTATATCAGTTTGGTAAGTATATGCATACTGAAATAATGCAGCAAGTACCGGTGCAGTAAGG